CGCGCCGCGCGCGGTGACGTCAGCACGCAGGGCAAAGGGGCGTGGTTATACCTTATATGGGCAATGCCACGCCCACAGCACAGCGCTTTGTCCTGCTGGCGTGACTCCGCCCACTAAGTAAGCCACGCCCTTTGTGCTAAGCCACGCCTATTTAAACCACGCCCAGTCCCAATTTTGGGGGAATAAATTAATAAACGCCTCAAAATTAATAAATCATTAAAAATAAATAAATCCCCAAAGACAAATACAAAAAGGATAATAAGTCCCCAAAATTAAGTTAATTAATTACCCAGAGAATTAATAAATCCCCCAAAAAATCCCTAGAAATGAATGAATCCCAAAAATTAAATTAATCACCCAAAATTAAATAAATCCCAAAAAATAACTAATTCCCCAAATAAATAAATTCTGAAAAAAATTAATAAATCCCTGAAACTAAATCCCAAAAAAATTAATGAATCCACAAAATTAAACTAATTAACCACCCAAAATTAAACAGACCCCCAACTACAATTAAATCCCCCAAAAATAAATTTAAAAACCCATTTTACATTTTTTTTTTCAAAATCCATTTATTACAAAAAAACTCAGGAAAAAAAAACCTCCGGTGGGGGAGGGGGTCCCACAGCCCCTCCCCCACCCCACACGCCGGGCCCTCCCCCTCCCCAACATCAACGCATCACCACTCCCCCCTCGCTGCCGCCGGCTTCCAGAACGTTCTGCGCCGTGGTTTTGCCGTGCTGCTCCTTCAGGTGCCGCCGGATGGCCGGCTTGTGGGCGAACCTGACGTCGCAGTAGGAGCAGCGGTAGGGCCTGGCGCCGCTGTGCAGGTTCAGGTGGTCGTGCAGCGTGGATTTCTGCGTGAAGCTCTTGCCGCAGACGCCGCAGCCGTGCGACTTCACGCCGCGGTGCACGTTCATGTGCCGGTTCAGGTTGCTGCTGTGGTTGAACTGCTTGCCGCAGCGCGGGCACATGAACACGAAGTGCTGCGCCCGCATGTGGAACACCAGCTTCTCCACGCCCTGGAAGCTCTCCCCGCACTTCCCGCACCGCGAGGACGACGACGACGACGAAGGCGCGGCCGTCGCGGTCGCCGAGGTGCCCACGGCGGCTTGGTTGCCCGGCGGCTCCTCGTTGGCGGCCGCGTTGTTGCCGCCGCCTCCTCCTCCACCGGGGAAAATGACCAAACCTTCACCTTCAGCATCCTCGGCCAGGCTGTAGCACGCCTTGACCACCCCCAGCTGCGCCGTGGCGTTATCCGGCGCGGCGGCCACCACCGCGGCCACCCCCGACCCTCCCTGCGCCGCCTCGCCGCCGGCCACCGCCGGCCACCTCCTGCCGCGCCGCCGCGTGGCCGGCTCCACCTTGACGATACAAACATCCGTGGCGTCCTCCTCGTCCTCATCCTCCTCGTCCTCCTCGGGCTTCGGCGGCGGCACCGGCGCGGCGGGCGAGGGCTGGATGAACCTGGCCAGGGCGCCGCGGCAGCGCTCCACCACGTGCTCCATCTGCAGGTAGCTGGCGGCCGTCAGGTAGTTGACGAGGTCGCGGCCGGCGAACTCCAGCGCGCCGGTGTAGCAGGAGAGCAGCAGGTCGGCCAGCACGCGGGCGCTGTGCGCCAGCGAGACGCGCAGCTCGGCCGCGGGGTTCAGCAGGAACTGGTCGCGCAGGAAGGGCGAGCAGGCGGCCAGGATGACGCGGTGGCCGCGGAAGCGCAGGCTGCGCGCCACGATGGTGACGTCGCAGAAGCGCTCCTCGGCCCGCAGGCGCGTCATGGAGCGCAGCGCCGCCGCCTCGTGGCCCGGCAGCTGGAAACGGAGCAGCTCGGGGAGGGAGGGAGGGGGCACGCGCGGGGCATTGTGGGATACAGGCGGACCCCCCCTTCCCCTCACGGCCGCGGGGCATTGTGGGATACTGGAGGACCCCCCCTTTCCCCTCACGGCCGCGGGGGATTGTGGGATGCGGGAGGACCGCGTGACGTCACTGGAGAGCGACGGCGCGGCGTTGTTGCCATGGTGACGGGGCTGTGAGGAGGGGAAAGGGCGGGAAAACGGGGAAAAATGGGAAAAAGCGGTTAAAAATCGTGGGAAATGGTCATAAAACGGCTCAAACAATCGGTCATAAATTGGTCGGGAAATGGGTGAAAAAACTGGTCCAAAATCCGTCCAAAACAGGCGAAAAACTGGTCAGAAAACGACCAAAAACCCGGCGGTAAAAGATGGCGCTTCCCGGGGACGTCTCACGACGACGGCGCCACTTTTTGGGGACATTTATTGACGCAGGACATCGGGTACATGTCGCGACATGGGTGCCACCCCTTGGGGACACCCGGGGGTGTCACTGGGCGCCGCCCCTCCCCCCTGTCGCCGCTGTCGCGGGCTGGTTTGGGGGCGGGGCCAGACTGGGAGCACTGGTTTGGGGGGGAGGGGTTGGGACAGGACTGAGAGTGGTCCCAGTGGTCCCAGTATCCCCACTCCCAGTATTCCCAGTATCCCCAGTGTCCTCAGTCCCCCAGATATCCCCATCCCCAGTATCCCCATTCCAGTCCCCCCAGTATTCCCAGTGTTCCCAGTGTCCCCATTCCCAGTATCCTCAGTGATGTCCCTATCCCATTCCCAGTATCCCCAGTATCCCCAGTCCCCCCAGTATCCCCATTCCCAGTATCCCCAGTATCCCCATTCCCAGTATCCCCAGTATTCCCAGTCCCCCCAGTATCCCTATTCCCAGTTCCCCCAGTATCCCCAGTACCCCCAGTGTCCCCATTCCCAGTACCCCCAGTACCCCCATTCCCACACCACAGCAACAAGGCCAGGGCCGGATCCGAGACTTTATTTGGGACCCTCTGGGACCCTCCGGGATCCCCCGTCCCCCTTGGGATCCGGGCCTGCCCGATCCGGGTTTTCCAGATCCTGGTCTCCCTGATCCAGATCCAGATCCCGGTCGGCCAGATCCGGATCCGTAGGAGCCTGAGCTGGATCCCCCGTAGGATCCCGAATTTCCAGAGGATCCTGATCCGTAGGATCCCGAATTTCCCCCGTAGGAGCCCGATCCCCCATGGGATCCCAAATTTCCAGACGATCCCGATCCGTAAGATCCCGAATTTCCTCCGTAGGATCCTGAGTTCCCATAGGATCCCGAGTCTCCTCCGTAGGATCCCAAATTTCCAGCTGATCCCGAATTTCCTCCGTAGGATCCTGAATTTCCTCCGTAGGATCCCGGACTTCCAGCCGATCCCGATCCGGATCCGGCGGATCCCGGTCTGCCGCCCTGGCACGCCGAGCGACGGCACGATCCCGAGGGTGATCCCGGTGATCCCAGCTGGGGGCTGAGCAGCCCCAGCGGATCCTTGCAGGGATCCACCCCGGCCGTCAGCGGGGACAGCGATCCCGAACCCGAACCGGGACCGGAACCGGAACCAGAACCGGAACCGGGGCGGGCGCAGAGCCCGGAGGCGCCTGGGGGAGGGGAGGATCCAGTACGGCCCAGTTTGGACCAGTTTGGCCCTGTTCATCCCAGTTCATCCCAGTCCATCCCAGTCCCTTCCAGTCCATCCCAGTCCCAACCCAGTCCATCCCAATTCGTCCCAGTCCCATCCCAGTCCCTCCCAGTCCATCCCAGTCACCGCAGCCCCTCCCAGATCCCGTATCCGTCATTCCCAGTCCCTCCCAGTTCATTCCCAGTTTATCCCAGTCCCTCCCAAATTCCCTATCGTTCCATCTCCGTTCCTCCCAGTCCATCCCAGTCCCTCCCAGTTCCTGTCCCAGTTTCCCTCCCTGACTTTATCCCCAGTTCCTGTTCCCAGTTCCCTCCCAGTGTCTCCCAGTCCCATCCCAGTCCATTCCAATCCCCTCCCAGTTCATCCCAGTCCATCCCAGTCCATTCTGGTTCCCCATATCTCCAATCCCAGTCCATCCCAGTCCCATCCCAGTCCATTCCAATCCCCTCCCAGTTCATCCCAGTCCTTCTCAGTCCTTCTCAGTCCATCCCAGTCCATCCCAGACCATTCCAATCCCCTCCCAGTTCATCCCAGTCCATCCCAGTCCATCCCAGTCCATTCTGGTTCCCCATATCTCCAATCCCAGACCATTCCAATCCCCTCCCAGTCCATCCCAGTCCATTCCAATCCCCTCCCAGTCCATCCCAGTCCATTCCAATCCCCTCCCAGTCCCATCCCAGTCCGTCCCAGTCCATCTCAATTCCCCATAACTTCATCCCAGTGCTCCCCAGTCCCTCCCAGTTCCTCCCAGTTCCCCCAGTCTCACCCAGCAGCAGCAGCAGCAGCACCGGGGCCCGGCGGGGCCCAGGCGGAGCCATCGGGGCCAGGTGGGGACAGGTGGGGACAGGAGGGGACAGGAGGGACCCGGGGCCACCTTAAATAGCCCAGGTGAGGGTGGGGGAGGGGCCCAGGTGAGGGTGGGGAGGCCCCGCCCACCCCCCAAATCCTCTGAGTCACCGGGATTGACCCGCTTGGGGTGGGGGGACACACCTGGGACACACCTGGGGACAGCGGGGACACACCTGGGGTACACCTGGGGGGATGGGGACACACTT